GGCTGATAGGTGGAACTTCCCTTATGCTTATTGTGTGGTTCTATCTTAGTGTAAACAGTTGTAATTCAAGAGAAACAAAGCTTCTTGACTTCCTGAGCGAGCAGTGTGGAATCTTGTGCTGGTGCAGGAGCGTCACTTGACATGGACAATGTTATGTTGAGCACACAAGAAGTTGTGGGCAACAGATATCAGTTGGCCTGGTCCAATAAACCAAACAAGAGCCTATATAAAAAAATTATTGCCAAAATTTTCAACTTATGTTCCATTGACTGAGAGCAGCTGTTATGAAGTATCATGAATTTGTTCAAGGGTGTATTTTAGCAGCTAACTAGAAGCAGATGGAACACATGTTCGGTGTGCATGATTATATCCCAGGTGGAGAGAGGATTTGAAGAGACATGGAGATACAAAGATAGGCTAAAAACGGAGTGGTAAGGAGGAGAAAGGCAAATTAACTGGTGCATTCATCATGTCGACAATTACAGTGATTCCCTTATGTACATTGTCTTTTACTCTATCTGTTTTAAAAATAAAAATTCTGAGGAGAATTCTGGCATTTGGTGAGAGAGCAGGCAAGACAAAAATCTAGTCTCTGGCTTCATATACAACATAGTATAGATGTGTGCATCAATATGAGGTGAAATCCGGTCTATTGGTCCTTATCATTTGTTCCCTGGGTTGTCTTCGCATTTCTGTATCTTGCTTTATAAATAGTTTTCTCAACTACCTCAATATCCTCAGCTGTTTTTCTTAGTTATCTTCAATCATTCCTTCTTTTTTTTTTTTTTTTTAATCTTAAAAGCTGCAATTTCATTCTTTGTTACTCCACTTCCGTCCCCTTTTTTTCTTATTTAGAAAGAAGAAAGCATCAACAGAAGCTTCTAGAGATTGACTTGTAGCTTCTGAAGATTCCAATCCTTTATGACCTGAACCAAAATATTCCTCATGGTAACGACATCTTTCTTGATATGCTTGATTTCAAATAATTCATCATTAGTTACGTCTCCCATGGCTTAGAAGTTCAAAAAACAAGTAGGATCTTTTACCTCTTTGACACTCTCTGATAAGTCTTAGTAAAAAGTTGGTATGGGCAGCATAAGAATGGGTTCTTTGAGTAGCTGTTTAAGGCTTGTTTTTGTGGCCAAAAGTGTCACACCCATCCCGAGAGACCTATTTGGTATTTCAGAGATGGAAGTATAACTCGACACGTAGTAATACCTACGCCTGTATTGCAAGGAATCATTTAAAATCAATAATACCAACCACTAATCTCATAAAAGAGATAAACAACTCTATAACAGAGTACACTACTCTGTAAATCAATACAATACAAAAATTTACGGAATTCATCTGTTACATCAAGAAGGAAACGAATACTCTGGTACAATATGTACACAACTAGTTTCCTTAACCTCTCATGTTGACGCAACTAGTGTTGTAGTGGACCCAACTTTAAACTTCAGCTCCCTGAAAACAAATATTTTCTTGAGTGTACTGCGCATCATAATAAATGGAAATATTAAAAAAATATGGATCAAATATTATTCCACCAAAATTTGTTCACAATCTGAGGAGAACGTCAAAATCAAAGTGTTTTTAACTCATTTTGAAATCTCATACTCTCTGCCAATATAACAACATAATAAATAGCCTACATGTGCTATGAGTCAACAACAACATTTAAGCGATGTCAGACTATCAACAACATTTAAGCAATGTCAAGCTATCTATAACATTTAAGCAATGTTAAACTATCTACAACATTTAAGCAATATCAAACTGTCTCACAACAACTGTGTAGTGTCCAAATCAACATGTAAGCCATGTCAAGCGATCAACAACTCTAGCACAGTAGATATACTCAAATCATAAGCTTTTCAACAAACCACAAGTTTCTCAACAAAACATATTTGATCTATAACTTAAGCATCTCAACTCAAATCAATTCAGCAAAATTGATTTCCCACATATAAGAGAATAAACTTGGTATATCATATACTTTTATTTTCAATTATTATGAAGCAGTACACTTCACCTGTCACCGCCAACCAACACACCACTTAGCTTTATGCTCGATCCCTAGGTGGAACCGATGTAGTAGCCTCCAATCCTAACAATTTGCATATGCACAAATGCAAATAAGTATCGACTAAAAATAACTTAATTTATGCAACTAAATGTATATGAATATGCTTCCTAACGTCTCACATTCACCAAAATTTTATTTCAATATCGAAGTCTGAAGACCAAGTGTCCACTCAAGTGTTTACGAACTCAATGAGTATCCTTTATAACCTTAAACTAGAATGTAAATTCTTTTTGGCACTCAATCTATGTGCACTTACAATTAGTTTAAAAGGATTCCACAATCTCACCTATTCTGCATACAATAGGCATACAGGCATTCCAACCCGTTTTAGTGGAAGGGCGCGCTATTTATTTACATACAATCAAAACCATCGTTTCGGACTACTGTGTGTTACTACACTCAAAACTGTAATCTGGATTTGTGATTTTTAGCTCTAATTCAAAACCCAATCATAAGTTTTAAAATATGCTAAACATTCATAAATAATGTAAGACATGATTTCAAAATGAATTTGAAAAACTTCGATTGACCCGGAATTGAGAAATCCTACCCCTGCGCTGCTTTTTGATCCGAAATAGCCAAAAATAAAACGATATTATTTTTCAATGAAATTTCATATACAACTTCAATTTACCTACCTAAGAATGAATATAAAATTTATTTTTCAAAAATATTCAAAAACTGGGTTGAATTGACCCCGGAGACCAAAACAGTCATTTTAATCCTCATTTTGATTCGGTCGTTGGATTGACTTGAAATTTTGTAGGGACCTCCGATGTTACGGAACTTTTGGCACAAATCAGAGGTTGATCAGAGTTCGGATGTGCCCAAAATTTCCATCGGAGTTCACTGATGTCCCCACCCTACTTCATCTTCAACCTTTGCTTGTTTAACTTTTGCCCAAAGTGCAGAAATTTCTGCTCAACCTCCCCACTTTGACCCCCTAGTTCTTCCATTACAGTACACCATCTCCTTTGATTTCAACATCCACATACTCTTTGGATAACCTAGTTTAAATCACTCTTAGACTCAACCTTTGAATTGAATTGTAACATCATCAAATTATTGGTCAAAGTTGGCCAAAAACCATTTTTCAAACACAAGTGTAGACCAACAACTACCCGTTTCAGCCTCAAAACAACCTCTAAATCCAATTCCAAGGTCGGAAATGGATTCCTTGACCCCAAATTAGTTAGACCCAAGTCCCTTTTCAAAGCTTAATCAAGGTTATCAAAAATCAAATTTTTAAAAATTCAAACCCTTGGGGGTTTCTTCATCCCATCACCACACACCATGGCAACCGTAAAATCACTCCCAAACAACTCTACAACAACCCAAAAATACAACCCAATACTCAATTGAAGAAGAAATACAAGACCCATTTTATGAAATCCTAAAATCCGAAACTTTAAAACTCAAATTCGAGCATAACCACTTACCCAAATCAAAAATTAACAACACCAATGAATTCCTAGCATCCAAATTAGGCTAGAGGCATACCTTTGAATGTTTGAATAAGCCTCCAAAGCAAACCCAAAAATTCGAATGAAGGTTTTCTCTCTCTACCTTCTCTCCGCTGTTTCTCTCTCCACAAATGAATTCTATCCATTCCAAGCTATGGAAGAAGTCTTCAGCACCTCCTCAAACCTTCCAGAGTGTTACAGAGAGACATGGAGCCTCCTGGCAGCAGCTTGGAAGAAATGCCATGCAANCCATTCCAAGCTATGGAAGAAGTCTTCAGCACCTCCTCAAACCTTCCAGAGTGTTAGAGAGAGACATGGAGCCTCCTGGCAGCAGCTTGGAAGAAATGCCATTGCANTATCCATTCCAAGCTATGGAAGAAGTCTTCAGCACCTCCTCAAACCTTCCAGAGTGTTACAGAGAGACATGGAGCCTCCTGGCAGCAGCTTGGAAGAAATGCCATGCAATGGCATTTCTGTAATTACCTTGAATCTGAAAATTAATTTAATTTTTTTTTCATATATATTCAAACATGCGCTATAAAAATACTTTCCTAATTTTTTTTATATCCACGTCTTATGCACGTATGCTCGGGCTTCACAAAAGGGCTGAGGATTAGATCAGGTTAGAAAAAGGCTGTTTAAGGGCTTTGAACAGTAGTCATGAACAGAGCAAGACTGGTTTTGGGTAGTTTGAGCTGCTAGAGTTGAATAGTTGTGAGAGAGAATGATTAGGCTTCAAAGAAGACTATTTATGGTGGTAAAAGATGTTGAAAATGGTTCTAATTGCAGCCCAATAACAGAGTAGAGAGTCAGAAAATTAAATAGAAGAAGAGAAGACCCTCAAAAGGGTTAGAAAATCACAAAAACATAACCTCATGTTCTCATAATGCTATACTTTTCTGATTTGGAAGATGACAGAGATTTTTTATAGGCTACTAGTTCTTCTAATTATAGGAGGATAGTAGAAAAGTAGGACTTTTCAAACCTAGTCCAATACTTTCGATTATTATCGAGTAACATAATTTAGTAAAATAATACGACCCATCGCTAACCATTGTTAAATGGACACAAATGCCTAAATTCTAAGACTCAATAACCATATTCTAAATTCCAGCAGATCCAAATTAACCCTATAACTGATTTAACAAGCTCCAAACATTCCTCCTTATAGAATTCTTGAACTGCCTTTTTCTTTCTTGTGTGTTCCGCGTCATTGTATTTCTTTACTTCTTTTTGGTAAAGTAAAGGGCATAGGCAAATTGAGAAATTCCCTTTTTTTATTTTGGAGAGTTTTTGTGCTGTTTTTGCTTCGATCTTGCTGAAATTATGTGTTTCATTTGTGCAACACTCTGAATTAAGAATGCTTGATTGAATTTTATCTAAATATCAACCAAAAAGATTACATTTGATCTCAGGATGTCTTATTTTCTTAGTACCAGATTTGGACTATGGTTAGTTTCTGCTCCCTCACATACTGGGGCTTGTTCTAGAAGCTGGTTTGTAGGAAAAATGAATCTAGGGACATGATGGGTTTTGTGCATAAATGAGTTGGAAGTGCATCCCTTAGCTACTGATAACACGATGCTATGGTAATTGGCTTTAGATGGTTTTGAAAATTAATCATATGTGAAAATTTTGACTCTGGCAAAATATGGTTGCAATGCCACTGGCTTGTAATCATGAAGACCTAAGCCTTTGGGAAGTTGTTCCCCCACCTTCCCCCCACCCCACACCGCCAACATGCTCTGGGGACCCCATACAATGTCTGGTTACAAAAGCAGAGAGTTGATAGCTGTGATACTTTCATCTTTGGTGGAAGTTTGAAGAAGAATATTTTATGATGCATTTGTTGTTGTTATAGTAAGGATTAGTTATTGTACTGGATGACCTTCATGCTGACAGCCTCTACAACTGCACCTTCAATAATTGCTTATTAGTTTAAGCAAGTTCTTATCTTCTAATGCACTTGCTATATGGAGGGGGTAATTACATGTGAGTTGGATGTGCTTACGTAGGTTGTGCTGCCATATTTTAAGTCAAAATTGCATTCCATTTACAATAAAGAAAGAGAAGCTACACTTCAAGCAAGTTTATGGGGTCATGGTGATGAGAGATATGATGATACTGATTATGTTGAGGGAGGTGGTAATTCTTTTGCTTCAACAAGCAATTTGGATGCCGAAGCAACAGCCAGAACACATTTAACAAAGAGAATTCAGAAGATTATAGGTGCTTCCTACCCATGGCTCCATGCTGGAAATGAAGGTACCTGGAACTTAAGTGTTTACACATTTTCTTTTCTTTTCAAGAAGCTGCAGTTTATTTCACATTTGTCTTAATGAGATGATGAGTATTTTTGGTAGATACCAATTTGCCTTTTTTAGTTTTTTAGAAGCTGTACTTGAATTTCATCTTATTGGTTGATTTTGGATTTTTCTCCTTGATGTCTGTATATTTTGCAGAAATAAAATCTATACTTTATCATGTTTCTTTGAAGCACATTAACCATGAGTAAATTTAATTAGTATCAGCCGCTTATTACGTTGTTTCTTTTGTAAATTATATTCCAATATGTAGAGATGCATTTAAGCATTAACCTATCTTCTTCGTTTTCGTCTTGTTTAGACATTGTATCTCTTCAACACCTCCTCCCCCCTCCCCCCTCCCCCAACAAAAGAAATCCAGTGATGCCGGAGTTTAAACTTCTCGGAGAGGCTTGCTAGTCTGTTTTCACATTATTAATCAATCTTTTTCATTTTTTTGCTAAGCATATTATTAAAATGAACCACTTTTATACACTTATCCTCACCAGCATTAATCTAGAAAGGTCACGGCTGTGGAAATGGAAGCGATGCAGACCCTTTCCAACTTAAAGTTGATTTCCCCGACATTTGACTCAAACCATAAATGGAACTACCAAGAAACTACATCTTAGTTTGAAATTTATTTTGTTATGCAGAGATAGCTTCTATTACATTGCTTTCTAGGAAGAGATGCTTTATGGTCCTATGGCCATCTTTGAGCACATTGCTTGTTTCTTCTATGTAATGCCTGTAGTCTGACATAGTTTTTATCTTTTCAGGATTATCATTTGCTTATCAGCTGCTATATTTGTTGGATGCTACTGGATTCTATTCCATAGGATTGCATGCACTTGGGATTCATGTCTGTCGAGCTACGGGGCAGGAGCTGGTATATATTTATAAAGAAATTCTGTCTAGAGCTCTCTATATTTTGTGGCTTATACTTATCTGATATCAATTAAAGTGGAAGTTTTGTTTAAGAATTTCCAAATTTCGTGACATTATCATACATCATGCCCAATGATTAAAATATCGTTTCGAAATAATCGAAACATCTGAAACGTTTCCGTTTCTAAGGAGACCGAAACGAATCAGTGATGGAATCGAAATTCTAATATTTCGAGGTATTCCATAATATTTCGAGATGTTTTATAATATTTCAATGCATTTGCACAATTGTTTTGGAATGTTTCAAGGTATTTTAAGATATTTTGATATATTTCGATCAATGTTTTAGTAAAATAATTCTTAAATTTTTTATTTTTTCATTATGTGTCTGAAACGTTTTCGAAATACATCGAAACGTTTCTGTTTTCTAGGTGACCGAAACAATACATCGAAACGAAATTTTGATCCTTGATCATGCCTTTGGCGAATGTAAAAGGCAGTATACTTGAAACAATTATTCTTTGACTAAATAAGTAAGTTTGTTCAATTTATCCTTAGTAGCTCTCTCTCTCTGACTGTGTGGCTGTGCTGCACTTGATTTGGCATTCATCCATTTTGTTCTCCACTACAATGACAGTTTTTGATTTAGTGTTGCATCCTTTTTGCTAATGGCTTCAAGTAGTTTGTCAAGTTTGTAACATGTTGTGTGAAACCTTTTCCATTTATGTGACGTGGATATCTTTTAGTTCTGTATGCTTTTAGTGGTTTCATCATTAAGTTTCTTCGTATGAACTCTTTCGGTGACCCCCATACCGGTTGCAGTTACTCTGTTACTTCACCATTACACTTGACAGCTTATTTGATGACAAGTTATGTGGTTCAGTGACCTCCATTCTGACTGCAGTTAGTCTGTTACTTCACCATTACACTTGACAGCTAATTTGATGACAAAATATGTAAGAAGATAAAGAATCGAAGAACATAAAAGAGAGAGAAGAGAAAGAGAAAGAGAATTCAGAATGTATGAATAATATTGTAGTAGATTCTCATTGAGTGAATATGAATGATTACAAGAAGCAACTGCTTATATACCAACTCCTAACACTTGCCTAACAGATTGCCTAACAAACAAACTAGCTCTTCCAGCTAATCAATACAAGTCAGCAGCTAACTAACTAACTTATTCTTCCATGCTTTATTCCTGCGTAATATGGTCCAGCTAGATCAGCTGCATCTGCATCTGGATCAGCTTTATCTGCTCTGCTGTAGCTGTGGTATNATATGGTCCAGCTAGATCAGCTGCATCTGCATCTGGATCAGCTTTATCTGCTCTGCATCTGGATCAGCTTTATCATCTGCATCTGCATCTNGATCGGCTCTAATCCATGTTCTAGAATCTTTATCTGAAAGATGAGCTTTTCTCTTAAACCAACAGATGAATGCTAAGGTTAGTTTTATAGTTTTACCGAGGACTAGAAGCCGGTATGGATGACGATTGTTTGGCAAATCAAGCATAATCGAGGTTCCTTTGTTGGATCGATNTGCTGCAGCTGTGACTGAACCTGCTGTGGCTGCAGCTATAGTATGCTGCAATAAGTTATGTGGTTGAAGTGAAATATTTTGTGGATTCTTATGCATTCTGTTGGGTAAATACGTTGAGTATAGCTGTTTAGGCTTTGTTAACTTTCTGTTTAAGTTATGCAGTTGGGTCTGTTGGTCATTAGTCAAGGGTTCTGGGAGCCATTTTTGTCCATGATTTCAGTGTTAAACAATCTTCATTTACATTTTATTGACTTTTTATTTAATGCAATTTTCTTTCTAGCCTGTTGTGTTTAATATTCTAGGAAATATGGTTATTTAATCCTGGATCCTTCTCATGACAAGCTTTTTCTATATGACTATACCCTTATCTGCTTAATAAACAATCAATAAGATGCATGTTGATTAAACTTTACTCACATTTTTCCTTCTTGATGAATGTTTTGCCTAGTTGGCTATAGAGATGAAAGTTTAATCCTGTCAGTTCCTGTATATGATATCTTATTATACTAAGTTCTCTGACTTTTGATGTCAAGGTAGATGGATACTACTTCTAGAATTTCCATGATAAGAAGTCGTGAACGTGATAGACTCCGGGGTCCCCCATGGCTGAAGGTGTGTAATCAAATTTTCAGTTTGGTTTGCTGCCTAATGTAATTGTCTATCTTGTTTGTTTGCATCAGTAGTTAGACTAATTATTCAATTTGGCTGCTCCATTACCAAGAACATTGTACAGATATCACATTGATTTTCCTTTTCCAATGTAGATTATTCATTTATTTTCTCTTTGAAACTTTTGTTGCCATGAAGTTCCAACTTCCAAGCATTGGATAGTAATATAAATTTGTGCGATGATGAGAGTGCATGAGAGAGATTGAGCAGCCATAGATGAGTAGAGAGATTTGGATACAAGCTTCAAGAGAAAAGAAAATGAAATTTTCTTGTTGGAAGTTGATGAAGAGTCATGGAGAGATGCCATGCTAGTTATTGAGAAGAGCAGATATGCTTGCTTCTTATTATCAAAGGAGTTGGGATCATAGTTGTTAAATCGCGATGCGTATCGTGAATTGGAATCTTAAATTTGAGAATCGTGAATTGCAAGATTCGACGTAATTTGAACAAAAATAAAAACTAATGCTACATATTTAAAATAGACAAAATATTGAATATTGAACATTATTGTATATGTCAGATAAAAAAAAAAACATTATTGCATTCTAAAAATAATTAATTGACGTAATCACGTCGTCTAAATAGAAAGACGCTAGCATTTTGCTTTATTTTCATTTTTTGCTTAACCATTTTCAAATTGAACAACTTGAAAAAAAAAATTCATTAAAAAACCATAACTATTCAAGAACCAAAATAGTGACACCTAGTATAGATTAGGTTACAAATATGAATGAAAAAAAAAAAATTGATTGGGAGAAAACATAAAGACCAATCTTTTGAAACAAAAAATTAGAACCTAACAAATTACCCATGTGGGTTCCTCTGCAAACAAAATGATGCCGTTTTACTGTTTAGCAGAAAAAATAACATCATTTTGCCTTGGGTTTTAAAAAAAAATGATTGAATCCTGCGATACGAATGAAATCGTACGAATCGAACGATTCAAGTGCGATTAAACTCAAACGATTCTCATATAAGATACGAATTATGTTATACTTGTATTGAAAAGAATCGTATGAATCGAATCGCGAATCGTACGATCTTGATAATTGTGGTTGTGATGGGTTACTTGGTTGGGAAAAAACATTAGCTGACAATGCAAACTAGAATTTTCTTTCGGTTTTTAGAGCTTATAGCTCTGAACAGAGAGGATTTGTTGTTTATCATCAATGGAATAATAACAATGGATGGAGAGGAATGTTGGAAATGTTCGCTGGTATGATGAGTTGGGGTGATGGTAGGCAAATGATTGTTGATGTTGAGGACCAAATAACACAACCAGGGGAAGCATCGATGGGTCGAATGCACGGGCAGAGCTAGGATTTCCAATTAGAGGGGGCAAACTATTACAAAATTTTTTTTTACCAATTTATACAAAACATTTCTAAGCGTGAAAAAATATTTTAGAATTCAACACTAGATTACTATTAAAATAGTAAAAGCAATTTCCATTTAATTAAAGAAAATATGAACAAACCATAAAATAACTTATGGTATTACATTTCAACTCAATCACATACTAAAGTAAAATACGATGTTATTTTAAATCTCAAAATTCGTCTATAATGTATTGATGATAAACTAAATTTTTAAAAATTCTCTTCAATAAAAGAAACCACATTATCCATGACAAAATCATTATTCATTTTATATTGCGAAAACTAGTTGAAATTATCATTTATTTTGTTGATTTACTCATTCCAGAAACTAAAACATTGATTTTTTTTTTTTTTTTTTGGGTGGGGTTGGGGGGGGGGGGG